ATCCCTCTTTCCTAGGAAGGCATTGCAGAATATTTAATGGTTTCTTGAAGAAGGATTCCTGAAAAGATCAGGCTCGGTATGCCAGGTGAGGAGATACCCAATGTTAACACAGTTACTGGGGTACCTAGCTGATCTGGAGGGTACCATCACTTTTTTGGTTCCCAAACTCATTTCAGCAGAAGCAAGGGCTGGAGCATGTTGCTGTCTTGGGGAGAAAGATGCTTTTCCAATTCCTTGTTCCAAAACTGCACATCCAACAGGAATGCTGTGATGCTCTGGAGTGTTGTTATGCTGTGATGCTCTGGAGATTGGACCAACTGTGTGTGTTGGAGAGGAGTGGGTATATTTATGGTGCCTTTAGGTACGTGGTTATAAAGGAGACCTTGCCAAAATCCGGAGTGCGCAGAATCGTAAACTTCAAGTGCTGCTGGATTCCAGCTGTAAAGTGTTAGCAGGGCTCCTCAAAAAATCTGCGTTTGATTCAGCTGTGGAGGTTACCAGCAACTGCAGAATTAGTGATGAATGTGTTTGCTAACTGTGCCATTAAGAAATGAGCAATGGCCAGATGGAGGAAGGAAGTGCAGAGCTGCTTTGAACACTTACCCTCCCTGTAGGCTCCATCTTGCACAGACACAGATGAGAGCCAGAAGCGTTGGGGTGATGATATTCTTCTGTGAAAGGGGGATCAGTCTAAGGAGTTGTACCACTCTTTTCTGAGCTTAGAAATCTTTGCATTCTGCTTTTTGCTTCATGGATACTATGCAGTTTCCTTTCAGCAAGACCTAGTGAGAGATTTTGTTGTGGTTTTTTTTTTTTTCTTTGAGACTATGACCATCCAATTAACATTCCTAAACCCTCACTTGGATACATGCAGTTAAATGCATGTTGCCTGCCTCGTCCCTCACCTTCTCAGAGGATCAGGCATCCCTACAGGTGTTCAGATCAAGATGTTGCTTGTTTCAGAGCCTTCCAGAGCGGGAAGTGGCAGAAGAAGAGCATTTTGTTTAAGCACCTTCTGCAAGGGCAGCATCAATTTGGGCTGGAGGAGCCCGGGCATGATTTTGTGAGATTTTTTGTGTCCCTGTGGTTGGTGCTGGGTCTGGATTAGTAAGAGCACCAGGAAAGGGGAGAGATGATGTGGAGAGCTGTTGTGCCGTGGGGACTATGCTAGGCTCTGGCTCTGGAGAGCTTTGGAAGATCCCTTAAACTCTTTGAAGGGCGAAACCTCTGCAAAAGCCTCCTTGCGTCCTCAGGAGACGTGTTTCCTGCATCACTAACAATTAAAACCCCCGTGTTAATCAGGAATGTCAACCACAATCCTCAGGACTGGGTCTGCTTCTTTATCTGTGTCAAAGTGTAGGGGAGCCAAAGAACAAGGCAAATGCTGCGTAGCCTCTTCTATCCAGCTCCTCGGGAAAAATACAATATGGAACCAAAGGAGTGTGGTAGAAAACAGTGCCAAGCTATTTTCTGTGCTGTGCTTGCCTTGCTGAGTCCATAAATGCAGCCATAGCAAACCAGCCATCCAAGTACTCTCACACACCGTTTTGGGGGCGTTCTCTGTGCCGACAAACCGAGCTGTGGCTGGCAAAGTAATCACTTGGGCAAGTAGTGAAAACGGATTTTTCTCCCAGTGCAATACATGAAGCTGATTCTGATACTTAAAATGAGACTTAAGCGTATATTTAACTTCATTCATTCAAGCAGTTCTGTTACCCTCGGCTAGCACCCTCCTCAGCAAAACTATCCAGGGTAGAAAATGAGCCTTTCATCTACGTATAATATCAAAGGAAAACTGTTTGAACAAGACTTGGTTGAAGTGTGGTTGTTTAGAGCTTCTTGGCACAGACAGGTGTGTTTTATACACACCTAAACACAAGGTATTTCTGGTTCACAAGGTGGTTCTGGTGCTTAAGGCTTTTGTCACTGCTCCTGACCCTACCTATTTCTGAATTACCTTGCCGCCTTGTTTTCTGGTCCTCTTTGATTTAGTTGCTCTCTCCCACCTTTGGTGCATAATCTCCCCAGCTTGCAGCCTTAGCAAATCTGATAAAGATGGTCCAAAATGCTCTAGAGGAATCAGAACAGTTCTTGCAGAGCCAGGAGACACCTGCTGCAAAACCAAAGGGTTCTTGTTTGTGCGGGTATCGCTGGTCAAAAACTTCTGGCGGCATAAATTCTGCCAAACCAATTTATTTCATTTGTTGAAATCAGTACTTGAGTGGGAAAGTGTTGATTTCAACGACATTTTTCAGTGGTATGGGGAGGGGAGAGGGAAGCCATCGATGTTTTCTTTTTGCTTTCGGTTAGTGTTTGCAATTACCTTAGACAAAAAACAACAAACAGTTAAATCCTATTGTATAATATGCAAGTTTAAGTGAAAGGGAAAAAATTGAAAGGAAATCTGTTGAGAAGCTGCTAATTGAAGGAGTTTTGAATTTGCCTTGTAAGAAACATAAACATTTTAGCTGTCCTTGTTGTGATTTGGAACGAGTCTCCCCTAACTGTTGGAATTTCCCACAGAACAGATGTTCAAGCCTCTTAATTTGTGCTTCCTCAGCAAATACTTGAATTTCCAAGGCTGCGTGGCCCTTCTCAGCTGGAGGGTGGCAGGAGCCAGAGGAGCCATCCCAAACCAGGACTTGTCTCACCAGAGGTGTAGGTGTACCCAAGCCAGAAGGCTCCTGCAGCCTCTGGTGAGCATGTGCTCCGCTGGTGGGAAGGCTGCACTTCCCTGGGTAGCATCCTGATTAAATAAGACTCAAGCAAATGCTCGCGTTCACAAAATTAACCCATACACTCATATTTGCAAGGATTTTATGTGATGGGGAGGAAGGTAAATCTAAGACATGTCTGAAATATGCTCTATGCAAGGTGTAGTGCTACTCCTTTTTTTCTCCTTTTTTGTTTTTTTTCTTCCTGTGCCTGCCGTTAGTGAATATCTTGCCAAAACAAAAGCTGCAGTGGGTGGATAAGGACTTGTAGTGTCTGGCTCTTACCTTCTGCAGCTTGTGTCCTCTCAGAGCTGTACTGAGCTAAAAAACAAGGATCAGATGTAGCATCTGGGAAGAATGCAGAGCCAAAGAGTCGAGGGGCAACCAGGGGGTAGCTAAATGCAGAATTGTGGCATAACACAAGACCTAGACTGGCCTTGTGCCTCTTTTGCTCTTCCAGTTGACCGTGGCAGGGGTAGCCAGATACACATCACTGCACGCACAAGATGTACATGATCTCTAGGTGGTTCCATCCTGCTCAGCTGAGCTCTCTGCTCCCTTTCCATGGATTTCTGTCAGTGGTTCTCGTCTCCCGTGTCCGTGTGCTTCATGAGAGCCCTTACATAACTCACTTGCCCCCTTCATGCTGGGACACCCTCCACTACCTGAGAAATGTCCTTTGGGTGGTGGGGTTTGGCTTTCAACCCAGCAACTCCTTCAGTGCTGGAAGGAGCTGCCTGGGTCTCTGCGGTGCCTATGGGGTGGAGAAATCCAGAGGTCAGGTTTACCTGGCAACAACATCTTGCTGTGGTCTCTGCCAGCTGTGATTGAAGTGAACCTTCATTCCCAGCTTTGGGGGCTCACACGGGAGGGTTGTGCCTGGCTGCCGTGGTGCTGAGCCTCTGCTGGGTTGAATCTCGTGTGTGCCAGACATGAGGTGCTGTCATACCAAACCATATTTATACAGGCTGTTCGTTGGTAGAGCTGTTCCAAGGTGCATCAACGTAATGAGATACATAAAAGGGGAAAGCAGTTAAATGTGCAATAACATCACAATAAAAGTAAAACTGGGCATTAGTGAAAAATCTGAGCACTAAGTGCAGTACAGTTGAACACTCCCACTACCTTGGGCATCAGTGCCCACACTTAATAATAATTTCCAGCAGTGTCATTACCAAAAATAAATGACGGCCTAACTGTCCAGAAAAAGGTGTTTGGAAAAAATGGGTGTTGAGACTTAGCAAGTGGTTCTGGCTGTAGGGTGTCCCCAAGGGGAGCTGGGAACTGCTGCAGGGGGAATGTGACGACTGAGATTTACGAGCAGAGGAGGAAGAGGCGATAGGTAACAGAAGAACCGGTGCGGTTGTTTGGGAAGCAGAGCTATGCACTTGCTGCCAGTTTCTGAAGCACCTGGGGAGCTGCTGGATGTGCTGTGAGGATGGGGTAAGGATTTGTATACGTGTATGTACATGCTGCAGCTTCCCCTGGGCGAGCAGTGCTGCAGAGGATGCTGCTGCCTTTGGTCCCCGGGGAGGGTTCTCCGAGACTTCAGGTGCAGGACCCCAGAAATACTGACTGCTGGGTGACATGGATGAACTGCTGGAAGAAACCAAACTAAGCGGATTGCTTTCCTCCTGATAAATAAAATCTCTTTTCTCTTCCCTCCTTCCCCTGTTTGCCCACCCTGGCAGGTTTTGGAGGCTTCCTTGCCGGTCGCTGCGTGCTGACACCATGGCGCTGAGGCTCTGGGGAACACGGTCACTCTCGCTTGTTGGTCTTGGAGCCCTGGTCCTGGTTGTGACTCTCCCTGCTGATGCTGGGTAAGATGATGAGCGCTGAGGCTGTCGGCCAAGGTTGCAGTCCCCTCACTGTGCTTAAACATCCCTGGGCCAGTACCAGCGTGAAGTAGTCAAGGGCAGAGCCCTAAAAAATGTCATTGCTGTGTTTGACCTTCCCCGTGTCCCTGTCCCCATGCCTTTCACCTCTTCAGTCCCTCGTGGCTGAGCTGACTGATTACACTAGCATTATCTGAGGTGCTCTCACAAAGGGCAGTTCTCAGCATTTTTTTGCAACAAAACCAATTTTCGGATTTGGCCTCTCCACAGTTCACTCTGGGCGAGGATTTGGCTTGGCGGGCTTTTAACCTGGAAGGGAGAGTCCCCCCCTGCTTAATTTTTTTAATACTCTTTAAAGAAAAAAATTAAACTTCTTCAGTTACTTGACTGTTTTTGGTATGAGGACCCACGAGCTGCATGGGGGGGCTCTGGCCAGCCTGGGCTGGACGTGCTGCTCTCCCTCTGCTTGGGTTGGGGGTCCTGGGTGTGCTGGCTCCTGCTGTCCCTTCATGGAGAGCGCTGCCACCAGCCTCACCTTCCCAGCCTCCGGGAGCTGTCAGGCAAAGACAAAAAGCCTGTTAGTCCAGGACAGGCTCCACAGCCCTCCTCTGCATCTCGTTGAGGCTCGGTGAGCTTGGAGAACCCTTCGAGGAAGGGAGGCAGAGACACCCCAGCAGAGCTGCCAGCCGTGGGGAGGGAGGAGCTCTGTGGAGAGGGAGAGAAATGCAAATAATACATGACTTCTATAAAAAATGTAGGAAAGCCTTTAGAGTGCCAGGTACGGACACTGAAATGCCGTCTGCCGGGCTTCAAGTCCAGCAGCGCTCAAGGGTTTTCACGCATGAGAGAATGTCGGTGTTTGCCACTCGTGCGTCACCCACGCGCCTCGCTGCACGCTCCTACCCCGACCTGCCCACGCTGCTTCATCTGCTGGGAATCTAACTTTGCATAAGCAAAAAACCCACATCCCGAGCGTGCCTTGATGTGTAGATGCTGACCCTTTTATCAATATAGGGCTGCTTGCTTGCACAGACATCAGCCTCTTGCTGTCCCCTCCACCCTGGGGCGATTGTGTCCCCATCCCCATGCTGGCTGTGGGGGATTGTCAGCAGCCCCTGTGCCTGCAGCCCTCATGGCCCTTTTCCTTCCCATCACGTCGTCCCTCACATCACTCCGGTCCGTGGGAGGGTTCGCTTCCTAAATTACAGGCGGTATGTCGTTTTTTCGGAAGTGGCAGACAGCTCTCCAGGGAGTGTGTGCACAGGGACGGGTGGTGAGGTAATGACTTTTCCTCAAGCCTATCCTAATTAAATTTGCTGAAAAACCTCTGTCTTCCCTGCCTAAAGGCTTTTAATTATTTTAAAAACCATGATCCCCATACCTCTTTGCACTTCCTCAACAGTTCTTCGCAGGGGCTTTGAGAGAGATAAATGAGACCTGGTTTTTATGCCTTGCTAAAGGGCTGCTTTAGCTTTATATTAAGGATAGATGAGCCAGCCCAGCCCTTGACTGGACTGGGTAATTAGCTCCAATAGGTGCCAGGCAGAGGTGCTGCTGGCTCTCCCCTGCCTGCACCCGTCCCTCGCCCTGCCCGCGCCGCTCTTTCCCCGGCGCCTCCCGAGCGAAATCCCACGCTGCTCACATTGAAGTTGAAACCTCAAATGTCAGGCTAAGTAAAAACGGCTTTGAAATTTGTAAACTCATTTTTCCCATCACTGCTGAGCCTCCGCCAGGAGTTCCTTCACAAAAATCCGTCCTCTTGCTCTTTATATTACGGGTAATTTTTAAAGATAGCTTATAAAACATTAATGAATGAGCTTTCATGAGCATGCTAGCTATTCATAAGTTATAGATGGTTATATACCCATCAGCAGACACTGGTACAGATTGCTTTTAACCATGACATCTATTGAAAGCTGGCACAATTGAAACCTCACTAATTACAGTAGGCATTTGTGAAATTCCTCAAAATTCTACTTACCTGCAGGGAGTTCAGCTGTTTTAAATATTTCAAGTCCAGATGAAGAGCCAAAACTAGTGTTTGGATTCAAGTGGGAAGACTTGAAGGCTGTGATGCGGTTCATAACTGCTTGATGTTTTGGATCTCACAGGTTGCATTAGGGCTGGGACAGGTGTTTTCCCAACACTGCCCATACCCCTGGGAACTGCAATTTAAGCACTTTATTATTCCTGTTAGACTCTTGCAGGCTGAGCTTCCTGGCCTGACAATTTCTCCCATGATAGCAAGTACTGGTTTGCCAAAAACCACCAGCCAGGCAGCCTTGCGAGAGGTGGGATCCAATCCCTGGAGTAGCAAAACCTCAAGCACTTGAACTGCAATTTCCCAGAGTGTTTGGTCATTGATGTCGATGCAAATTAATGTCAAAATTGCCTTAGATGGAATATTTCAATTAGCTGTAGCGTGCTGCATAATATTGATTCAGCCTGACTCTCAAAGTGCCTATACCTTACTCTCCATTTTTCCCCTTGTGCTAGAAAATCCTTTTTACTCTTCTTCTATCTTACAAAAATCTGGGTTTTCAGTTGGGAAAATGTTCTGATAGAAAAGTTCCAAGCCAGCTCTGCAACTTGTCACCCCACTAACCCTTCACGGAGTACTTACAAACTTACTTAGCAGTGTCAGGGGTAACTGGTCTGACCAGATGGGATGCCACAAGATTCAGCTTTGACCTCCTTAAATGATATTCCTCTTTCTGGTGTTTCCCCCCTCAACTAATTCCTGACGCATGTTTAAACAAGTAGTTGCACATATCAACTAGAGCAAGAAAAACATGGCTGAGGAGGAGAAGGAAAGGGACAGAAGTGTTAGAAAGCAATGATTTAGGGACTTCTCATCCCCCAGGTGTGGGGAGTGGGACCGAGAGTCAGAGATGCCTTCCCTGGGAGTTGCGCCCACCTCTTGCACCACCAGTGTCTCTCTAATTTCCCGCATCTGTGGTCTTTGTCCAGGCAGTGCTCCCCAGTCACTTATCCCTCTAGTTGGTGACATGGGGCTGATTTGTCAGTCGAAGCTGCCCCATTCCCAAGTTGCTCCTGGTGCCATCACTGAGGATCTCTCCACTCCAGCAGGTTTTCTCGAACCGCTTGGCTGGGCTTCCTCTGCCATCCCGCTGCCTGCCTGTGCCTCTTAATCTCTTTTTTTTGGGCTCATTGGTGTCTCTTTTATTTCCTCTTCCATCTTCTTTGCAATCTCTGCGTCTCTATAGATTTTGTTTGTTTGTTTGTTTGCTTTCTGTTACTTAATCTTCTGCCTTTCCATTTGTTTCGGTCTTAACAGCTATTTCTGCCAGGGAGAGCTGTGCTTGGAGCCACAGCACCGGTACTCTGTGTTGTCTGAAATGCCTTTTGGAGACAGCCAGTTTCAGAAAGATTTGCAGGCTCTTTTTCTGTTGATTGAAAGGGAGACGTAAAATGCAAATGTATTGTTTGAGCCCCTTGGGCTTGCAAAACCGCATTGAAGATTGTGTGTGGCGGGATGAACTTTGTTTGCAAAATTTACTACTTACTTTATTCCACCTGGGGCAGAAAATACCCCGAGGAAATCATCTTATTTGAGGGCTTCCAGGCTTCTATGCTGAGCAGAGATAGGAATGCGAAAACTCATTTGGTTTTATAAACAGTTCAACAAACTGCAGAAATGGTTCATGAAGGGTTTTAATGATGGAATCAGGCTTAAAGCCTGCTTTACTCAATTCCTACTTTTCTGCCTCCCTTTCCACTTTCCCTTCATTTCCAGTAACTCTTCAGAGCATTTAAAGACTAGTTTTCTCTTCTGATGATGTTTTTACCTCTTTTTTTTTATCCCACCGCGTGCCAGGCTTTCTCAGAAACATGTTTCAGACGTCGTCGATGACAGCAAGGACAACATCACCATATTCACTCGCATCCTGGACAGGCTCTTGGATGGATATGACAACCGCCTGAGACCTGGACTTGGAGGTCAGCTGGGTGGAGAGATGATGTTTTCCGCAGCTGTGTAGCTTTAGAAACAAGATGCTGCACAGGTGACTCTTAGTAAATCCAGTGGTGTTGGAAGGAGAGGCTGGTTTAATGCCAGAGTGGGTAACTGGTTTCCTGACGTTGAGGTTGTGCTGCCCTATTGTTTGATATTTTCCCCGTGTGCTGCCTGATCTAGTCGAGAGGTGGCGTCCCTGGCAACAGGGAGGCTGGATTAAAATGATCTCTAAGGTCCCTTCCAGCCTCGGCCATTCTATGATTCTATGATTTTGTGAGATGAGAGGCACAAGCCTCTGACTGCTGTGGTGTTCTGAGGTATTACATTGACAGGCCTGTAGATGGAGCAAATACGATTAAACTTATTTCTGCTACTGTATAGTCGTTACCGTTTCAGAAATGACGATGCCACCAGTTTGCAGGACCTGCAGCTCGTGTTGGTGGGCTTTGCTACAGAGCCTCTAGCTTGACATCTTCTCAGTTGTTTCCTGTGTAGCTGTCACCTGGCAAGCTCTTCTCTGCGTGCTGGTCTGGGCACTGGGCAGTCAGCCAGGCTCTGCTGTCTCCTGAGCTGCTTTTAAAGCCACTGCCACTACAGCTCCTGCTGCTGAGCTTCTCTCCAGACACCTACAGATGTTTGAGGTGCTTCAGAAAGCAAAGCCACGGTAGTCACCTTCCCTCCTGGTGCTTATGTCATACATTTAGTGAGATGTACAGAGGTAGAAGCAATGGGGAGACGTATGGGGGAGACAGACACAAGATTTCTTGATGAGATGAGTGAGAGATGGGCCTGTGTGATTTCCTGGTGTGTTGTTGCCAAGGGATGGAGAAGATAACCCCTCTCAGGTGCTGGCAGCCGTGGGAGCTGCTGAGGGGATGTCCCTGTACTGGTCTGAGCTCTCCTGCTCAGCTGCAAAGTTGCGCTGCTGGACTGTGATTCCCACCTAAAGCCAGAGTCACTGAAGGTCCTACTGTCAAGGGAGACTGGGAACGAACCTCCCTCAGCTCTTGTATGATGACGGGGGCTCCAGTGGCACAGTGCCAGCCTGGGTTTGCACTCTCCACTGCTCAGAGCAGCCTCATTGTCTTCTCCCAGCCCCAAGCCCTCTGCCCTGCACCTGCCCAAGAGTACTTTGATGCCAAGCAGACACCATGCAAAATCTGGGGAGGAAGGGTTTCTCCAGTGAGCATCCTCACGTCTGGTGGACTGCCATGCTGCAGGACCTGGACAGGCAAGGGTTACTGTGTCTGCATAAGCCATCCGTCAGTTTTATTGCTTTTGTTGCTTGTTTCTCTCCCCTAGAATTAACTGTGGTCCCGCTAATAGCTTTGCTTCCTCAAGTCTCCCCGATGGCTGTATTGATTTAACTGAAACGAGTTCTGAAAGGGGACTGAGGGGGCATTTATGTTCACCGTAGGCTCGGTTGCAGACAACCCCATGCAAAGTATTAACAAGAGGACTCCCAGGAGTCCCTTGCTGGGAAAGTTAAAACCTTTCTTGGAACATCTCTTCTCTATTGCTTTAGATCCTTTTAATAATGTGCTTAACATAATAAATTGCCTTTGCCTGAACCAGACATTGCATGTTTGAAGGCTGCTTTCACCTCTGGTTTCCCTTCATGGAGCACTCCTGCTGACTCAGATGGGAGGTTTTGACAAGAGCTACAGGTCTGGGGGCCTCTTGGCTGGCAATGAGTTGTCCTCAGTGTCTGTACCTGGGGGGCAACCGGATGAGCCAGGCTCTCCCCGCTTTTAGCTGGACCTGTTTTCCCTAAGTCTGAGCTTTTATCCCTTGGAGATCTGTCAGGGCTGTTATCAGGAAGACCATTAGAGGGGAAGACCTTTGCCACCGCTGCTGGTGGCCAGAGAAGCAGAAATGGTCCTGCTACAGACTCCAGACTTAGGGGTTAATCAAGTAGCTTGGGGTGACAGTCAGCAAGAGCTGGGCTCCTGCTGTCCAAGGTTGCATGAAAGCTGTGAAAGGGGTTGCTTTGCTTCAAATTAGCAGCTAATGTGGTTCTGTGACTTACAAAGTCCAGCGGTTTTCCTGTGAGACGGCACTGGGCAGTCCCTGTAGACCCAGCGCTGGCTCTCCTCGTTTCCCCTGGGAATACATTCCACTTGCTTTTCTGAATCAGCACCATGCAGTCCTGCTTTGGTGTCCACAGATAGGGCAGATATGGGGGTATTGTGCCCGTGCACAGGCTAACAAAAGGATGGACTGGCCTAAATTGTGGGTAATGGGGAAGCAGGACCTGCAGGGTCCCTTCTTGGCCTTAGTTTCCCTGCTCTGTATGAAGCAGACCCCTGTGAAAACACTGTGTTGGGATACGAAGGGCTGAGTGTGCCAGGGTCCCTGTCCTCCACGTGTGGCAGAGCCACTGCCTCTTGTGCCAGGAACCGAGCAATGTTTGTTTAGGCTTTGGGAGAAGAGGCTGTGTAAGCAACAGAGTGTTGATGTGGCGACTTCTCCCCTTGAGATAGCCTCTTTGTATTTATTTTCTTATCCCCTCTGTTTTCACCATCTGCTGCCACCCACTCTAATAGCTCCCATGCCAGAGCTCCTCTTCCTACCAGGATGCTACAGACACAAACTAAAGCAAAACCAGTTCTGAGCCTGCTCGGGGATGCCTGGTGCTGCAGAGCCAGGCTCAGGCAAGGGTAATCCTGTGCCTTCCTGCTGCTCCTGCCCCCAGGAGCTGGCTCAGGACAGCCTCTCCAGAAGTCTTGACTGCAAGCAGAGGTTTGTGAGCATCCTCCGGGCTAGCTTAGAAGAGGAAAGGCGGCACGAGAAGGTCAGACCCCTCCTTCTGCAAGAACAGGCCATAGGACATGACCAGTGGTGTCACAGAGAAGTCTTCTGTGGCTGGTAGGGGGTTTCTCCCTGTCTCTGCCAGGTGAGCTGGGGCTGGCTTGCTCTTGGGGACAGAGCTGAGTCTTTTGTTTGGTCCCATAACCAGCCTGCTCCTGCAGAAGGGTGACTGCATAAATAGATCATGTTATAGGACTCAGAGTGGAGGAGGAGAGGAAGGAACTGTCAGCAGATAACCTGTGTTTCCAGTGGGAAAACACAGGCAGATTGGTTATTAAGTCAGAAGAGGAACAGAAATGGACCCTGAGGGGATGGAGACATCTGTTGTCATGGCCAACCTTGTAGGATAAGAAGAGCTCCCACTGAGAGAGTTTCTGTGGGCAGTGCTGGCCTCCACTGCTGGTCTGGAGCTGTGCAACCGTGCAGATCCTCTGCCCAGCCCTGTGGGGGCTACAGCGAGGGGCATCTATTTATAGCTCTCAAATTCTCTTTGTTGGGGCTCCCTGCAGAGGTGGCACGTGGAGAGGCCTCCGTTTTGAACCTGCAGCTTGCCCTTGCTTGCAAGAGTAGGGGAGAGGAGATGTGGCCAGGAGAGAGAGGTAGAACTGGCTGACAAAAGGAGAGACATCACATACCCAGAAAGGAGAGCTGCTCAGGGAGTGGAATCTCAGCTACAGGACCGTTAAGTGATCCTCCAAGAATGACTGATGCACAAAAATACCTGTATATACTTGGGCTGCTTGCTGTGAAGAGTGATTGAAGTTCTGCAACCCCTGCACAGCCAGGACGATGCCCAGCACAGTTACCACGAGAGGGGATGCAGTGGTTGGGTTGTTTGATGTTCGGGGATGGTCCCTGTGCAGCTCTACCTTCTGCAGCCATGTTTCCTGACTGATGAAGTTTGGGTCCATTGTGCTGCAAGCAAAACACAACCTTCTTGTTGGGAGGCGCAGGAGGGGAGATTTCTAGACTTGCCCCAGCCTTTTCCTTCCTTACAGCCTTGAGAATTCTCTTAATCTAAGGTCCCTTCCCAAAACTATCAGGGAGCACCTTCCTGCTTGAGGGGAGGCACGTGGGGCCTTTCTGTAGCTATTTCCAAATCAGGATAGGGATTTCTTACAGCTTAGCTGGAGACTGTCTGCTTCACGGAGGCCGTGGGTCTGCCTGAGGCGCTGTTTGGTGTCAGGATGAGGAACCTAGAGGGCATCTGGAGCAGTGGTGGACAAAGTCAGGGCAAGCCTGTGCTCCAGAAAGCTGCTCACCTTTTGCAGAGGATGCTAAAGAGAAAAAGATTTATCCCCGAGGAAAAGGAGAGAGTAGATTGTTCTGTTTTCTAAAAGATGGGCTGTAAACTTTCTAGATAAGCCAGTTTCGCCAATGGCAATTAAAAAGTAATTTGTACCATGTTAAGCAGCTAGGCTAGGATTGATCACTGTTATCCCTCCTGGGTGCAGCATCGCTTACAAGGTAACTCATTGGATTTCCTTGAAGCTTCTACCACGTGTCTCTGGAGTCCCTAAGTGGCTGACTTGGCCCCACTGAGGGAACAATGGCTGGACAACGTCCTGATCGTCTGTGTCTGCACGATGTGCTTCTGGACGGTTGAGGGGTTAGGAGCCTATTAAAGTTTATTTTTTTCAGAGCACGAGGTTTGCTGGGACCAGCAAACACAGGCAACCAGATTAAAACAATGCAGTTCTCTAGGCAGAACAAGGCACTTGACCCCTTTGGTTTCCTTTTCCTAGGGGACAGGGCACAGTGCCCATTCCTTGTCCTTAGGTTTGGCACCAAGTGGGTCCCATCCAGGCAGAGAGGTTTGTATCTTTACCCCTGGGTATATCCAGGGAGTGAAAGTAATCCAGACTCGTGGCTGCCTCCTCTTCCTCAGCTCCGCTGCGTTGTTCGTTGTAGCTTGGTGCCAGCATCTCCCTGCCCGCGTTGGGCTCGGCACAGACCCCACTGGGCTCCACCAGGTTTCGGTGCGGTGAGGCTCTGCAGTTTGCAACAGGACACAGATCAGGGATGCCCAGCACAGACCTTTGGTGCCTTTTATCTGGCCTCACCATGTCAGCTCTGCCCTGCTAATGGTTTTGATCTGTAGCCACCCGTTAATATTAATCCTGCTGATGTATTCCCTTTATTCTTTCACAGGTGAAGCACACTTCACTTGGAG